CACACACACACACACACACACACACACACACACACACACACACACACACGTGTTGCACAGTTGCTGTTCTATATCTGATGCCGGAGGCTGCCTTTAGCCCTTTCTTCGTGGTGATGCCGAAAATATTAAGGAAAAAGAGGAGAGAGTTTTGAAGTTTTCAATGACTTAGTTGTATCATATTGTGTTGGGATTTCGAATTTCGCGGAATGAGATTCTGCTCAAGGTACTGAGCTTGCGTGTCTTCAGGGCGCAGCTTCAGTTTGCAACCTTCGTGATCTATAGGTTACTCAATCCCTCGGTTTTTGTTTCGAACGGAATCTTATTTGTTGTCACGGTTAAAGACTACCGACCTCTCGTTTTCCGCTCTACCTTTTCTGTGTCCCCTTTTTGTGGACCATTTCTTGGTTTGCGCATGTCATCCTGTTAATCTTCTTTGCGTTCTCTCTTTCATGGCCCAGGGCTTCCTTTCCCAATTCGCTCACATGCTGAAAATCCCTCTGCCCGGACCCAATCCCCACCCTCCTGCCCACCTTCGCCGACCCTGCCAACAAGAGTTCAAAAGTCTCTTTCGGGAGTCGTCTCTCCCTTCTGCTACTGCGTAAGAGTTTGTCGCCATGCTGGATGGATCGTTCACATTGCTGCCTTTTTCTGATCTCGTTTCTGCCTGTTTCGTTTGTCGGGCTCCTGGTTTGCAATGTTTCTGCCATCTCATTCGTTTCGTTTTTCCTCGGCATTCTTGTCCGTTTTGCTTGTCGCTGGAAAAGACCCATTGGGTCTCACTCCACCACTGTCCGCTATACAGAATTTCGGAGAGTTCGTGTATAGCTGTCAGAGTATCAAAAAACGGAGATTTCGTGTATAGTCTGCGCCGTCGCTCCACTTACTATCCGCTATACAGCTCTCCAATTCCTGAGTTCACTACAAAACACCCTAAGAGCACTACAAGACAGCAGTTTGTCGGCCCAGACTCCAGGCAGACTATCCGATTTCGTGTTCGAACGGCGGCCTCCTTCGACCACCCTTCGAGGAGTATCCGTGTAACGACTTTTGCAGGCTGGGAACTATACACAAATGCAGAGTGCGATCCACGGCCGATTTCTGACAAATATACAATGGAGTTTTCACGTGTATAGTGTATAGTTAGTGGAGCGACGCCGAACTATACAATTTTGTATAGTGTATAGTAGTGGAGCGAGACCTATTCACCCATCCTTATGGATGCAATTTCAGATTGCCTCGCAAATCAACCAGTAGAGATATGGCGAATCAAGGCAACCAGGATGGTCCCACTGCGGCTGTCTCCAAGCTGCCAGAGTGCCATTTGATCCTGACCGTCAATCTCGCTGATCTGCGGGTTATGGTCGAAGAATCGTGGCAAGCCGGATAGCGACTTTGGTAGTTACTGTATTACTTTCCATTTCAGAAGACAGGAAAGCAGTCGGAGCTTGAACCGGAGTTGTGGAGATGACAGATGACGCATCGGGCGATGGCTCGTGCGGAAAGTCTCTCTCGCAATCCCGGTGATTGAGTAAAGCGAGACTTTGTGTATGGATGTCCCAGTGGGAACTTTCCACTAATTAGGGCCTCGTTCTACACCACTTGAAAATACTTAAGTTTCAAGTGCACACTAAATGAGAAATTGTGATTAATTTACACTTTAATCGATTTATTGCTCCACGTACACTTGAGGACACCCGCAGGGAAAAGTCATAAAACCTCCCCCCTACGAAACCTTCATATCTATTTTCCCCCTAATGGGGAAAAAGGTGCCGCAGGCCCCAAAAACACACACACACACACACACACTCCCACGCACGAGGGGCAACTGCCCGTTTTCGTTTGCTACCAGATTCTTCTTTTTTTTTTTTTTTTTTTTTTTTTTTTTTTTTTTTTTTTTT